GAGAGAGAGAGAGAGAGAGAGAGAGAGAGAGAGAGAGAGAGAGAGAGAGCTGGGGATATGGTGGAAAATTGTCTATTCTCCCTGCTGTCTGTATAAATTTTGATTTCAACATTGGTTAATTTTGTTGCGGCATTTTTGGGATTTCTTGGGTGAATCGTCTCGGACCTTTTGCTGTATGTATGAATGTATGCATGAATGGCGATGAATGAGCTTGCATCCTTTCTTTCTAGTTGTCTTTTTTATCAGTAGCGTTAGCTTAATCCAAATTTCGTCACTTTCTAGTACCCATCGCTAACGCATGTGTATCTGTCTGCGAATCTTGCCCTGCCCGGATCCGGTCGGACGCACCCACTGCACACGGCTCGCCCAATCTCCTACTTCTGATTTATGAATGATTACGGGAATTGCTAGGTGTGTATGCTTTGCGAATGTCCAATAATCTTTTCCTTTGATGCATGACGGTATGTCTGAAGCTAACGCATCCCGGGAACGAGGTTGATTGCCTGAGGGAACCAGCTGCATGGTTGAGCCGATAAGCTGACAGATCGCTCCTTGTTCATTCACGCAGTTTAGGATCTGATCAACTGGCCGGTGCGCACGCACGTGTAAGGCAGCGGCCCGTCCGCGGACTTGCCATCTACACGCGCGTCTGCAAAAACCAGTTGCAATCTTGCCCCCCCCCCCCTCGCCCCTAGAAAGATGTGTGTGCATGGATTCCGTTGAACGAGACATGGCGATAGAATACCCTTTCTGGATCACCGATCGTGAGAGCCTGAGGGACCCAGAATACCGAGCGTATTGGGAAAGGGAACAAATCCGACGGCAGCGGATCTGACAACATCGTCACTTACGGAACCGTGAGCACCGTGAGCACCTTCAGTACCCCTACCGGACTGAAAACGAGCGACTGTGCCGAGGCGATTTCCAGCTGGCAATTAACCGAGACCCGCGAATTCCCGATTATCCCGACAGCAGAAACCAGCAATATCTTCTAACCCCAGGCTTCGTTGCCATCACCACTTACTTTCCTCCCTACTATACCGTCCTCCCTTATCATTGGCTGCTCGTGATCCCCTGGGATTCCATAGCCCGGTTCTGGCCCTGCCCGCCGTGCTTGGAGTGTCGGCAGCCTTGCGAGTATCGGCAGGCGAGGGTCACGCAACGAACCCACCTGGGGACCGAGCGACGAGCACCCAGTTAGTCTTCATCGGATCCGAACCTTGCGACGGTCGGCAGCGGTACGAGCGTTCCCACAACGACACCCGTAGTGCCCCACTTCGACTCAGGCCGCGCGATCGACCATCGCCTCAACTCTGAGCCGAAAGAGACACTTGCACTTCTACCCCTGAAACTTGACACAGGAGATTCCAGTTCTGACCTGGAACTCCGCCCCCACTTTCCTAAAATCCTTGGCACACCCCTTTTCGCACTTCCAGGCCCACTAACACTCCGAAACAGGGCAGTCGTGCTGGCTCGAATGATTGAGGGGGTGGACATATATATTATTCGCGCAATGGGTTAGATGTGAGATGAAGTTTGTTTCGCGCCCCTGACCTGCACTGCAATTTGTTTGATCAACTTGCATGTTTGTAGGGTGGACTCCGAGGTGTTGTGGGGGAAAAAAATATGGTCGGGAGATGTAACAGATGTATACAAGCAAGAGATTGAGGGGGTGGACAAGCCGGTGCAAAATTATAAGTGAGAAATTGGACAGGGAAGAAGGTGAGCTCGAAATTAGGAGACAGAGGGAGGGAGGGAGTAAGCAACGAAGAAATGGGAGAACGTGGAGGAGGCTTATGAGTGAGTATCTTGCTACCGGAAGGAAGGACAGGAAGTAGGGTCATTATCTAACCCACCAGTAAACTCGTGAAATGCATGTACAGAAATGACAGAATTTATCTGGGAGATCTGAAAAGAATGAAGGGTCAGTGAGCTTAGAAGGGGTAGAAAGAGTGGGAAGAGAGGAGGGAGCGGTATCGCTGCATCTAGGCTGAAAGTTTGGCCAAATGCAGATCTAATGAGGGTAAAAACCCCTTAAAGTTTAATAATAATCAGTTCCAATTCTTTCAGAGCCCTACAATTCTCTCCAATATATGCCCCTGCAAAACAGCTATGGAGTAGGCTGAAAGTACACCTATTCATCCTGCTCCCCCCATGGGGTAGGAAAGACTACTCCAACCCACCCCCCCCCCCCCCCCTCCTCCTTCTAGAAAAAATACTGCCGCATGATTTGTGCTGTCCTTGCGCAGGGGTGGCGGATATCCCAAAGGCCGGCTTCTCCCTTTTTCCTTTTTTTTCCTAGCAGAAAAAGAAAAGAGGCCGGCCCGTTCAGTACCAGTAGCAGAAAAAGAAAAGAGGCCGGCCCGTTCGGGACATCCGTTAAAATTGGAACGATACAGAGAAGATTTGCATGGCCCCTGCGCAAGGATGACACGCATAAATCGAGAAATGGTCCCAAAAAAAAAAAAAAAAAAAAAAAAAGAAAAGAGGCCGGCCCGTTCAGTACCAGTAGGGCTGGTTGGGACCGCAGGCGGCAGGGCCCGTCGAGATCTCCTGAGAAAAAAGTTGCGATTTTCCAGGACGTCTCTCTGACCACCTTTACTGCCGAGCGCGGATGCACCTGACCGCAATTACGTCCACAGACAAGGTAAATACATTTTAAAAAAGTTGTAGTGCGAATGTGCCCGTGGGGAATTTGTCACTGTGTGGTTGCCTTGCCTTCTTTTCTTCTTCCCAAAATGCCCCTGGGAATCTGATGTGACTTTTGAAGTGTTCAGGTTGTTCATAAAATGCTATTGAATTGGATGCATCTGACCACAATTATGTTCTTGCTCTTTCAGGTATGTTTAGAGAGCTTTCTCCTGCTCACTGCTCTCCCGACGAGATTCCGAAAGGGCT